TAAAATCTTTATTCACTAATGATATCTCTTTGATCATAGGAAGACCATTCGATTGTGTCGCAAAACCATGTCAAAATCAGGGGGTGTGCTGCCACGATGGTGGRTATTCCAGGTGTTTATGYCCTGCAGGATTTACTGGAAACCAATGTGAAAGAGGTACCGTACTTTTAAAGAATGACATATTGCTTTTTATATTATAGCTATCATAGTACGCGCTCTCTGATTGGTCAAATGTTATTGTTCATTTCACCGGTAAAATCACGGATGCGAAAATGCTATCATATAAAAGCAACAAACAACACATTTTCGTGCGTTCCTGGCGGAGAAMAAAACACTTGGGATATTGGAGAAACACTCAAAGCTGAAAATCTCTCGCCTCCGGCTTGGTTTATTTCACGAGGAACGCACGAAAATGTGTTGTTTATTGCTTAGATTGYACATGAACTAAAAAMAATGGACTTCGTATTTAAAAGAGTCGAAAATTACATTTTTAACAGCAAAAACGTTTCGACGTTTTACCAAGGCGTTGCCCTGGTCTAATTCGATGTTTTATTGCTCAGATATCAATGAATGTGCACGAAACCGCTGTCCACGAGGAGCGAAGTGTTTCGACCAAGTGAACGGCTTTAGCTGTATTTTCCCTGACTCCAAGGAATTCTGTAGAAAGAGTAAGTACAAAACTCGACTTATTGTTTGGTAAATGAATATTTTACCATACTAGATTACTATATGAATTCTAAGATTTCTGAAATGATTCAATGATCAAACAGAGCAAACAGATTGTGCAAAGAAACCCTGCAAAAATGGCGGAAAGTGCAAAGCCAACAAACGTGGTTATGTATGTGAATGCCGACCAGGATTCGGTGGTCGCAATTGTCAAACAAGTAAGAACTTTGTGTTTACTTTTCCTTCTCGTTTATCCTTTCTAACACTTGTTGTTGTTGTTGTTGTTGTTGTTGTTGTTGTTGTTCTCAGTTCTTGTTCTTGTTCTTGCTCTTGCTCTTCTTGTTCTTCTCGTTCTTCTTGCTCTTGCTCTTGCTCTTGCTCTTGTTTTTCTTGTTCTTCTTGTTCTTCTTATTCTTCTTGTTCTTCTTGTTCTTCTTGTTCTTCTTGTTCTTCTTGTTCTTCTTGTTCTTCTTGTTCTTCTTGTTCTTCTTGTTCTTCTTGTTCTTCTTGTTCTTCTTGTTCTTCTTGTTAATCCTTATCTTGTTCTCGTCCTCCAACAGATATCGATGAATGTTTGAGTGCACCCTGCGAGAATGGAGGCACCTGTGTTGACGGAATAAACAAGTTTACATGTAAATGCGCAAGCGGGTATGGTGGAATGTTCTGCCAGGACAGTAAGTCTTTGAAGCGTGTTTTTGTCCTTAGGTTTGGACTTACGTAAGCTCGGACTTAAAGTAAACTGAAAACGTTACCTCATACGTCCACATAGAGTCAGACATAAAACATAAATACAGACGTAAACGCAAGCTCTGACGTAAGACGTTAACTTCAAAACGCTGTTACAAACCTCGAAATAATTGCAGACGTAAATTGTAAGCAAAGTCGTATAACCTACATGCACATAATATCAGTCGTAAACRTACGTAATAGCAACGTGTGAAAAACGTAAGACTTCTACTGTTAACATATCACCGTTAATTTTTCTTATTCTAGAAAAGGGAMARTGCAAACCTGGAAGGTGTCTGAATGGTGGGGAATGCTCCGTGTCTAAAGGCGATAACCGTTGGAATTGCATCTGTAAAAGAGGATTCGCTGGTGAAAGATGCGAACGAGGTAGAACTATCACTAAATCTAAGGRCCATGATACACGGGCATCCCTTTCGAGTTATCAATTACGTTTGCAAACAAAAACACATCGTAAAATAAACAAATACTTACTGATACCCTTTATGCTATAATAATGGGGATGTCTTAGATCGACGGATGAAAAGGKATTGCGAATGGATATCTAAATAAGTCACCTCATTTTCCTTATACGAAAAATCTAAAACACGACCGCATTGAATGCTGGAGAACCATGACCCTTTAACTCGCTATCATCATTTTAACCTAGTTTTAATGAATATCGTTGGCCTCTTAAGCCCGTTTCAGACGTCGATCTTTTGCCGCGTCTAATCTAATTGCTTACATGCAGTTCTCGAGAAGTTTGCAGTCTACATCAATTGATATTTACGGATTATAGTAAGTTTGTCCAAGTGAACAAATTCTACTAATGTCAATAAATTTAGAGTACAAAGTGCTCATAAACTCAACTCCACCAATTAGATTAGGCTCGACAAAGATCGACGTCTGAAACGGGACTTAACTAATTRTATTTTCGATGATGATAAGTGTATTAGTATAATTGTCCCGGTTATATTGAGATAACAACTTTTTTTCCTTTAAAGTTGTGAAAGGATGTTCAACAAATCCTTGTCGTAATGGAGGTACTTGCTGTGAAGTGAAGGACGGATACAGGTGTCGATGTGACGACGGGTTTACTGGCAAAAACTGCGAGAARCGTAAGTTATAGAATTCTCCCAAAACGAATGCATTTAGTGGTAAATTKCAAGAAAAATGAAGTCCAAAACACTTTGCCGAGAATTTGAGGGAGAACCCGGTTACCTGAACTGAGTATTAGTCAGTGGTAAACTGTAGGACAAATAAGTTGCACAACACTTTTCCACAAATACGAGCGAAACTAGCTCACTGAAAAAGGAAYATTCAGCGAAAGAATTAAAACAAAGCAAAACAAAAAAAAATGGAGATAATTAAGTTATTTTCCAAATGTGAGGGAGAACCCGGCTACTTGATGAGGGAGAACCTAGTCTAATAATAACCAGCTAATGACATTATCACTCAACAGGAGTCGAAGATATGAACATCAAATTGGGTCAAGGACAATTAGAGTTCAAAATGAGTGGGTCGGATAACCCCAAGAGCAAAGAATACAGTAGAGTTTGTCGGTACGACAACGCGAGACAGTGCATTGTCTGCGGACGTGGGTACTACTTGCGAGCAAAATCCAGGAAGCAGGTCGTTCGCGATCTCGTGAAAGCTTGCAAGTTTTCCAAGAGAGTCGCGATGCGCATTGCAAAGGCTGCTGGTCTTAGTGGAAAGAAGGCCCGAAGATGCTTAAAGGTAGGTCAAGATGGCTTCTTTAAAATGGCAGTTCATCAAGACAAACAACAGCAACAACAACAACAACAACAACAACAACAACAAACGAATAAACAAGATATAARCAAAAMCGTTCTCTTCATGATCCCTTTATGCTCTATGAATGGAGATATATTGTAAGATTTGATCTTAAGACTGACTGATGGAAACGGATTGCGAATGGGTTTTCCATGTATGAAAAATCTAAAACATGGCTGTTTTGAATGCTAATGATCATGGCTTTTTATACTCTTTATATGAGCGTTCGATGTGCTTATCATTTATATATCAAGGCAATTCAAATATTAAAAAAAAATGTTTTAAATCGACAGTTGTTTTCATTAATGTTAATATACATACTTTTAAAAAGACCACGACGTCCAATGGACTAGGAGTTGAGAGTCCATGCAACCGAACACGAATACAATCAGAGTGCTCGACTTGTGAAAGTCTATATAGTTTGGTCGATCATAAATGCTATCATTTCATTGCAGAAATATCGTCTTTCAAAGATTCGCTTCTCCAGACGTCAGCAAAGGGAGTTGTTTCAGCTCGACTTTAAACGCCAGGAAAAGATCGCCGACAGGTACCTCAAGAAGCGTTGCAGGAAAGGTTTCCAGATYAAGAAACTCAATCCGTTTATACTGGACGTAACGATGGCACTCTTCAATGATAACGATTTACTAGACAACAGCAGGGAAAGAAAGCAATGCACCAAGCGAATCCTGGCCGATATCCAGTCTGGTGATGTAAGAAGAATGAACAAACTCTTCAGAGACCAAAACTTTTGGTTAAAAAAGGTGAAGATGTCCAGGAAGAAGCTCTCATTGATGAGRAATGCCTGCAAACGGGAATGCAAGAGAACGAGAAGATGTTAAGAAATTATGAAATAATATCACTTAATTAATGATAAACATTGGTACATAATGAGTATAAATTATTTTGATTTGTAATGATCGATGGTAATTTATGCTAATTTATGTTAATATTGGTTTAGATATGGATTTAATTATAAGGGTAACTTGGAGTGCTTTGTGCACTTTTGGACCGATGCATAAATTATGTTGATTTGTGATTATCGATGTTAATTTATGTTAATGATGTATCTTTAAATATTGCATTAATTATATGGGTGACATTGGATGACTTTGCTTACATTTTGATTTATCTTGGTTCTATGGCAATCAAATAACGCGATAGGGAGTTAGTTGTTATCGGAAACTGAGCGATTCAAAATGTAATTGGTATAAAATTTTGTTTTGTTTTAAAATAAAAACAGTAAACCTTGYAATAATCATGATCAGTAAAGTTCAAATGTAGTCATCGAAGGAAATAAATGGTTAAACAAATGCTGCTTCTTTTTGTACTTTTGTTTAACGTTGCTTAAACTGTCTGATTTTTCTGTTATAAACTGAAATCTGTGGTTCAATAATATTTCTTTTTTCGCGGTTCAATATTTTATCAAATTCATCTTAGAAACTCTTTCTCCTTGTTCTCTATAGTCTTGTTTGTATTGGCAATCAAGTACAAGCTCCAGCGATCCCTCCCCGTCTGAGKAAAGTCTGAGAAAACAGCAATTTATTCTTTATTTGCTTAGATATTTATTCTTTTAATAGACACTTTTTTGTCTGAATGAAATGTACCTCATATTGAATGAAATTTAATGGCTCTTTTTTTCTATTGTACTTTAAATGATACCTCTATATTAGCACTTGAATGGCTTCTCCTTAAAACTGCACTTGAATGGGTTCTTTTACACTATTATTAATTGGCTTCTACTTATAGAGTGKTTCTTTTGCACTTAAATGGTTTCTAGTTATAGATTGCACTTAAATGGGTTCTTTTGCTTCACTGCACTTTAATGGCATTTTACACGGAAAGTATTTGACACTTCCCGTTGTTGCTAAACAAATTGTAATTCGTTTAATAGCACTTAAAGGGCTTTTTGCTACTGTTAAATGGCTTTGAATTTGATTGACTTTCAAAGCACTTGTGAGCGAATGGACTAAAAACTACAGTAACAAGCCTCCTTAATGAATGATTTCGTCATGGCTTCCAAGATTCTTTGCAGCCTTTATTCGACTCGTTGTTTGCACATCGTTAAGTTACATTTTCTCTCCAAGTAGACAAGATATATGAAATATAAACATTTATTTTCATATAAAAATCAATATGATCAGATTTATCTAGTTCTTTCGGCAAAAAATTCRTTTTTACAAAACCTTGATTTTTCTAAGGTGCAATATGTCATGATGTAGGTCATAGACAGAGCTTCCTTCAAGATCAGTTTATTAACGTACTATTTAATTTGATATTTAATTTTTTTAAATTTAACATTTGTTCTTGTTGGTTGGGCTGCGTGATTCTGTCCAGTATCTCAAGCACTTTTACAAAAATCACACAAAAAAATAATGAAGTATTCCTCTACAATTATTTTTCCACATCCATCCTCAACATTTTGTAGATATAGTATAGATTTCTAATTCCTGTACTGTGATGATCAATACATGTTAGGATATAGCCCGAAAGAATTTTCCCAAAATTGTAAACATTTAAGTCTCTAGGTTCTGTGTTACCATGGTCTTCAAGGAATGTCGTCACGTAAATGTTTAATTTATTRTGTAAAATGCGAGAGAAAAGTCTCGATCCTRTAATCGATGTAATAAAACCCACGTTGGAAGRTCACATTATCTACAAGCTTTGTAGCTGAAATTAACAATGATTTACRTACGTCACCAGTAATGACGTCAATTTTGACGTCATATAGTCTCCCTAGCAACCACATTGTTCTTGGAAAGAATGCATGCCTTTATTGTGAAAACCATTCAAGTTGGAAATTGCTCTAGGCATTATTTAGTTTTCATACCATTATCCTATAATGATTTTGATTATTTCAATAACTATTGCGGAATTACTTTTTTTTAAAGGTTGATCACCATTATCATTATCATCATCATTATCATCATCATTATCATATTGCAACTTTTTTTTTCATATTGCGTCTTGTCTTTTTCTTTTTCAAATTTTCAAGTATTCTTTCCGTAGTTCATTTTTTAAAAAGAAATAAGTAAATTCTAGAGAAGCCATACTTTGTGTGCTTCTCATTTATTGTTAAATAAGTGGTAAAATGTAATGTATTTTTGTTTTGAGTGTTTGTTTCTTTGTTGAGAAAACAATGAATAAAAATAATAAGAAGAAGTAAGTTTGCCAGAATATCTAATGTTATGTTGAACTTGGCGCTAGTTTCCACTTGACCAATATCGCATTATTGACAAAACAAAAACAAAAAACAACTTAAAATAACCAATATTGAATACTGTATGTTATGTACACTTAAAACACGRAAACGTTGGCTACATTTTTTCAATTATGTGAATTCCTTTGATTTTATTGTTTATTTTGCCCTACATTGTACTTTTGAGCAGAATTTGGCGAGTACTTTGTTTCAGTTTTCTCACATCGGGTTCTCACATCGGGTTATTAATCGTTCCAGTGCCTCATTTCCAAAATTCTCTTCAGATTCCATAGAAACCARCGAAGCAATAAATCCCTAAAAATATCTGACTGAAGCCTTCATTATTTAAACAAATTAATTCTTTGYTAAAACTAACTTTATATTCTAACTCTTTTTAGCGAGAAAGTTGTAAATCACAAGTGAGAGTTCATAAACGTACCGCTAGTCATGATTARGAATTTCCTGCGCCTGTAATCGTCCTGTTGTCATGGCAATCGTCAATGCTCTCGTGAGAATGCAAACTCTGGGAAGCTAGTCGTTGTCATGGTCACCGTTGCACGGTGATGGACAAATCTCCACGAAACGTCATTTTTCTGATGTATGGCTTTGGTAATTGTTTTTGTTCYGCTGTAATGTACTGTATCGTAGATGGGCCATTGATCATCGTTTTGCTGAACTCGCTACAGCAGTTTGGCAACATTGAAGAACCAGAGAGGAACTCTGGYAAAATCTAAGGTAAACGAGCAAAATTACTTGTATTCAAACTTACTTGTATTTGTTAATTTATTAACGATGAATAAGAAAAAAGGGACGTCTAAAATAGTTAAAAACAAACAAATAAGAACCGACAGCAACAAAATAAATAACAACGCAAACATAAAGGACCGTAGAAATAAAAAAAGAACAGACAAGCAAACCAAACAAAGATAAAACGAAAATGTTTTAGAAACGAGATTGTAAGTGTGTAATTGTCAGATATAAACACAAAAATTGAAAACTCTGTTACATGGGGCCTTGCCGCCCTTACTTTCCAATATTACAAATGTTCAAATATTACTCCCGACTGACTTAGATTTTGTTTCACGGACTTAGTAACGTCTTCACTGTATTAGACTAATTACACCTTAGTACTGTCTGCTTCAGTTGCAGATTTAGTACAAATTTTGTGATGTAAAGTGAAGTAAAAACCGTGAAATAGATATTACACTAATACACCTTAGTACGCTCTAATTGCATTGTTTTCTTTTGTGTCTATTTGACTATCACACTAAATAGCCAGATTTTGTTTCACGGGCTTAAWGACTTCACTCTGTTGATTTTGTACATTTTTACTGACTTACTAYTTGTGTAATTTTCTGGACTTTACAAGATATTTATATGTTTATTTTTTTTATTTTAGATAAAAAATGACCGATCTTCATGGAATATTGATTGGTCTAGTTGCTCTAACAATACTACATACTACACATGGTACGTTGAAAAATTATTGAAAATAAATGTTGAAAAAACCAATATACCAAGGGTATAATGGAATTTTTATTAAACGCGACCCCTCCCCCCTAACCAAATCCCTTTGTATACCTAGAACGTTGTAGTTGCTTTACACGGTCTTACACTCTCTCTACTTCCCCCCACAGGGTCAATTTGTGATGTGATGAATATATGTGACAATGGTGGAACCTGTAAACCCGGTGGAAGTCTTGGAGTAACATGTGATTGTAAGCCTCAGTTTAAAGGTTTTGATTGTAAGACAGGTAAGTAACTGACATTCCTCTGGGAGGTCTGGGGACAGGTTCCCTAACGATTTTCCGTTGCGTTACGACACTAGCTGAAATACATTGCAAAAACGGCTCGAAAACGCATCAGTGTTGACAGAACGTCACGCATTATCGTAGCGTTTAGTTCTCTGTTCTCAAGGAGATGAAAAGCAGTACAGTTCAAAACTTTACAAAACGCTACAAAAAGGCTACGAAAATGTTGTGAAAATGTTACGGAAACGCTACGACAATGCTACGAACGCTACGAAAAACCTATGAAAACGTTGTGAAAAATGCTACGGAAAAGCTACGGAAATGCTGCGAACACTACGAAAACTACGATACTGCTACGAACGCTACGAAAACGCCGACAATATATAAATGTGAAGTCTTATAAGATAATATATATATTTTTTCGTTCAGACGTTGACGAATGCGCAGCGAATAGCAATTTGTGTGGGAATGGGACCTGTGCAAACAATTACGGAGGATTCAAATGCAACTGCTTCAAAGGATTTTACGGTCCACGCTGCGAGTATGGTAGGTATCTTAACGCATGGCGTTTCTTTACGTTAGTACGTAGAGTTAAGGCGCTAAATCCGTAAAACAAATTCCTGTAATTTATGATAATGTACGATAATTTATGATAATGTACGATAATTTATGATAATGTAGGATAATTTATAATAATGTACGATAATTGAAGATAACGCGCGGAAATTTATGATAATGTACCGTAATTTATGATAATGTACGATAATTGATGATAACGCGCGGAAATTTATGATAATGTACCATAATTTATGATAATGTACCATAATTTATGATATTATCATTGTTTATAATTATCGTAGACTTTGATGACTGCTCACCAAATCCCTGCCTTAACGGAGGCACTTGCTGTTGCCAAGGCATCAACTATTTTCAGTGCACATGCATGCCGGGATACACTGGAAAAACATGTCAAATCAGTAAGTGATTTGCCCTCCTTCTTCCTCAATTCATTCTTCCATGCATTTGTTCAACCAAGCATCCATTTGCTCATCCTTTAATTCTTCTTGTAGTAGCTTTTGCCCGTCCAACCATCCGTTCATCCTTCCATTTATCCCTTTYCAATTCATCTATTCCTCCTTTCTCGCCCCTACCTCCTTCCGTCCCACCATTTGTCTTTGTTTTCATTTTCATTTCATCCTTCCAATCATTCAATAATCCCGTCCATCCATTCATCTTTTTTCACATTTTATCTTCTTTTTTAAGATATCGACGATTGTGCAAATAGTCCCTGTAAAAATGGAGGTACTTGCACTGACAAGGTCAATGGATATGTATGTAAATGTCCGGCAGGATGGGGTGGTCCTACYTGTGAGTTAAGTAAGTATATATTACCAATGAATCAATGCATTGCACACTGCGGTGGCCAGTTCGTGTCACGGGGGTCAGCGTGAGCTTCGGGTGTATTTACAACCGTAAATTGTCGGAGTATAGCGCACCTTTTCGTAGGTCGTCGAGTTTTAATTTCTCTGGGTCTTTCTGGGGGCATTACTACTGTTTGTAGCGTGCGTAGCCAGGCGTTCCTAGCCTGTCCGGGATAGTTTGGGCCTGAGAAACCTAGAGCTCCGTCTCAAACTCTCTCGGAGCCGCTAGGAACGCCTGCCTACACAGGCTATGTTGAAGAATGTAAAGGGATTTCTTTTGAAGTTGTTTGTAAGTACTCTAAATCTAGATTCTAACTATATTCTAGAAAAATATAAGTCAAACAACCTCCAATATTTAAGTGCAAGGCTTATTGAGTGAGCTCGTCCTTGTGGTTTGATAAACGGCGCTTGGCGCCAACAACAGTTGTGTTTATTCCGTTGAAGTGTGGATCGCGGGGCCCTGCGTTTTGGGAGTTCTAAAAAACAGAAATAAAATAAGAACAAAATATAAATTTATGGGGCTTATTTCTGCAAAACTTCTAATTCCGTTCATCTGAAGAGAAATCTCATTTTTCTGTCCTAAATCTATCTATTCAATTATTTTTCCTCGAGTTGTCATTCCTATTTGTGATATTTTTGAACCAGCACTGTTTTCAGTGTCTATTTGACGATTATTATGATATATTGGACTAATATAAAAATTTAATCTGACTTTTTTAGATTTGAATAAATGCCACGCAAGCACTTGCAGGAATGGAGGAACATGTACCCAAGTGACAGCAACAACATACAGTTGTCATTGTGCCCCAGGATGGACAGGGAAAAACTGTGAAATCAGTGAGTAATTTATCATCGTTATCATTCATCGTTGTCTTTTGCTCTTCATAGAGGGGCAAAAGTGTTGAGGTCAGAAAAATTAATACATTTCAGAGTTTTTTTCATGTTCATTGCCTTCTAGTTCTTGAAAACGTTTGTTAATTAATAGTCTCCTTCATGGTTCCCTGTGCCATCTTGAATGGTAGCTGTGTCTTTGCATATAACCGAGACAACCAATTGAGCGTGCAATGATAGATCCTTGTGAATATATGTCTGTAGGTGTGAAAGAAGGTTTCTATCATTGCAAGCTCAATGTTCGTCTCACTTTGATGTAAAGGCAGGGCTGCCTTTCATGATTTCAAGATGACGTATGGAACCGTGAAGGAGGCTATTGTCCTGAAGAATCACTGGTTGTCTAGACATAAGAATCTTTTTTTACCCTACCCAAATATGAAATGATTTAAATGATTGAATCACAACACAAAATTAACATTTACAGTGTCAAGGTGCAAAGATGAACACCTCTTACGAATGGAAGTTTGTCATATTTGTGTTGAAACACTCTTAGACTAATTGAGAAATCTCTTGATAATTCTTGAATGCTTGCTGATATGATTTGTCTGTATGTACAGC